TAAAATTGACCAATTTTGAACCCAATATAGCGAACCTTGCAAAAAAACACCAGGCCCACCCATCTTATTGATCAAGAAGCAATAAATCTTAAGTTACTTTACTTATCATATCTACTTATGCATAATTACTTATTATTTAATAATAAGATATTTAAATTTCAATATTAATATATTTTTCATAAAACTATTGTTACGTAATGTACTATTACTTTAATAAATGTTTAAAATCATAAAATAAATGTACAAACACAGTATCTAATAGAGTTTTATTTTAATTAACAGAAAATTACTTTTGCGGGGGTCGATGGAGATTTCGAAAAATTATATAGGGGTCGATAATCAAAAAAGTTTGGCGACCCCTGCTCTAAGGTATCTTAGTAAAATACCGAAATTTTATAGCATTTATTAAATTTTATCACAGCTTATAAAACCATACTTTATTGTTAATTTTACCAAATTCATGACAAAGCGCTTCGATAAAAATTGCAGAGCTTTTTCGTGCTGCCAAAGAGCCTGAAGCTCGATAAATTGTACCATATTTTGGTAGTTTTTACCACATTTTTCTTCTCTATGTACAGTGTGCAAAAATGGACCACCTTGAATAACTTTCGCTTTTATGATCGGATCTTCACGTTTTAGTACTCAATCTTAATGCTTCAAAAGGGTGACCTCAAATATTCTAATTAATTAATGCAGAGGACGTTTTGAGTTACGATATCAGGCACAAAACGTAATTTCTTTGAATAAATATACCTTTTTTTTTTCTTAGCGGATTCGGATTTCTGACCCCCAAAATATAGAGGGTAGCCGCAATCTGGGAATTATGTTACCCATGGTTAGGTCAGGAAAGCGATCCAAAACTTTGATCCCATAATGTTAATTTTACTTTTTGCGTATTTTATCAAATCTCGAAAACTTTTAAAGCAAATTGAAAACTTTTTGCACGCCATTGTAAAATTCGCTTATCCAAAGATAATTCCATAAAAAAAATATTTGTAAATGTTTATTATTTTTTACTATTTCATTTAATAAAAGTCGAAAAAATTTTGAATTATAAAGTACATAATGTTTTACGTCATTTTAAAATATGTAAATTTACAGGGCAGAATAAAAAATTTGAGCAAAATCGGTAGAATAGTACATGAAAAATCAAATTCTAAATATACGACTTCTTAAATTAATATTTTATAAAATTTATTTAATTTATTTAATAAATTCAAAATTATCCTCTTTTATCCTTATTGAATAAATTATATCCTTATTATTTTTTCCTTAATGAATAAATTATATACTAAATATTAAGTGAAATTTCTTATAATTTTGGAGAATCATTCTTAAACCTAACCTGACAAGTCATATTCGGAAACTAATTTAGCTCTCGGGTATTAAGTTCGAGAAAAACAATGTGAAGGCCGAGAAAGTAAGAGATTTGTTTGTAATATTGTTTCTTCCTTCCTAAGTTGCTAATGAAGACTGACACATTAAGAGAAGAAGGAAAAGTTCTTTTTTGCGCTAAGTAAACACTACTATCTTCCAAATTGAATTTGTATAATCTAATCTATTATTCAATGGAAGAGCAGTGTTTTTTTTTTTCATTTAATGTAAATGTTTGCTTTTTTAAAACTTTTTAAACGCTTCGGAGGAGCAACAGTATTTGCTTGTTTAAAAGAGCAAAAGTTTACAGATTAGGAAAAAATACATATGCCTAGTCGTAAAAAAAGGAAAATTATGTTGTTGTTAATTGTTTTAGAAGCATAGCTTTTCATACAACGAGAAAAAAATATAATAAAATTAACGTACTGCATGGTAATGGCATTTCTGTTAAGACAAAACGCATGATTCAGGTATTAAAAGCCAAAATATACAGTATAAGCCATTCATTTAATAATTTTTTTTTCCTATGGCAGCGGTTTACCTGAAATTCTAGTTTTCAAAATTATATTTCCTACTACCATGCATTTAGTAATAAATACAAAATTGAAAAGCACATTTAACCGAATAAATGATTTTTATACCCTCTCTAATGTATTATTATGAAATTATAAATTTTTACGACATTTACCAAATTTTATCACATATTTTAAAACCATATTTTATTGTTATTTTTATTAAAATCATTACCGAAGCGATTCGGTAACAGGCTTTTTGGTCACCGGACATTTTGGTGTTTTCATAGAGACTGAAACGCGGTAAATTTGACCATGTTCAGGTAGTTTTGACCATACATTTCTTTCTCAGTGTATAGCTTCTAGATTTGGTTAATGAAAAACAAGTGCGAACAAAAAGTGAAAAAAAAAAATTAAAGAAGATGGTGAGACTCTATACAGTGAAATACAAGGTATTATTTAGAAACTTAATAAATTTATTTTCGTAAAAATAAGGCGATGAAAGTTAAAAATTAATATTAAAAAAAATTAGTCACAAAGATTTAAGGAGAAAGTAAAATTCAACGAAATTTAAAAAAGTACTTAGTAACCATCAGCGCAAGCAAGCCTCTTGATCAGCATATTAAAAATACTTATCTTTTCTACTGTGAGAGTTGCAAGAATAATTTGAAAATTTATTAAATTTGGAATTATAAGAATGTAAAATAAAAAAACAAAATTGGAATAAAACAATAGAAAGAAAATACATTTTTAAACACACTGCAAAATCTATGACGTAATAGATTTCTAAATATGATGTTGAAGAATTCAAGACTCATGATGAAGAAACACTAATTCCAGGAATTAAAGAGTTAATCAAACTAAGAGTTAATCAAATCAAAGAGTTAATCAAAAGAATTAATCAAACTTTCATATACAATTTAAAGGGCGTAATTTAAGTCTAAACACTTAACATTGAATAATCTTACACCATACTCTCGCACTTTCACATCATACGAGAATTATTTTCAGGCCCGAAAACACCATTGTTAAAGAGCTTTGAATTCGAAAAATTCAAGAAACACCAAGTAAAATAACTCCAGTAATTTGTTTGCAATCCAGAATGAGCTGGAGAGAGTTTGCTTTCGTCGTCTACGCTGATATTCACGAAATGAAGCGGAAATTTTGCCTCTAAAATATCTATGTAAGTTTTTAGTTGTAATTTGTTTGTTGTAACGTCAGTAATTTGTTTGCAATCTAGAATGAACTAGAGAGAGTTTGTTTTCGTCGTCTACGCTGATATTCACCAAATGAAGCGGAAATTTTGCTTCTAAAATATCTATGTAAGTTTTTAGTTGTAATTTGTTTGTTGTAACGCCAGTAATTTGTTTGCAATCTAGAATGAACTGGAGAGAGTTTGTTTTCGTCTCTACGCTGATATTCACCACATGAAGCGGAAATTTTGCCTCTAAAATATCTATGTAAGTTTTTAGTTGTAATTTGTTTGTTGTAACGCCAGTAATTTGTTTGCAATCTAGAATGAACTAGAGAGAGTTTGTTTTCGTCGTCTACGCTGATATTCACCAAATGAAGCGGAAATTTTGCTTCTAAAATATCTATGTAAGTTTTTAGTTGGGCAATAAAGGTAATTATGTTTTAGTTTTTAAATCTCCGAAAACTGTAGAATAGTTATAGTATAAAAATAATTACAGTAATTACTGTATGTTAAACATGATAATGTTATACTGAAACACATAAATTTTGGGGAAAAAAAGTTAAATAACTAATGAGAAACAAAAATTTTAAATAGCTAAATTAATTTCATTAAAAAGCTATAGATTTAAATTTTTATTTCTCGTGTGTTAGCGATGTTTTCTTAATGAAACAATCATTTCCAAGCAAACAAATATAATAAATTTTGTTACACAATAAAAAAAATTAAACTTAATTTAAAACTGTACGAATTCTAAGAATTATTGAAATTAAAAAAATATATCGGATTGAAAGCTTAATTTCGAATTTATTTTAAATTATTTCATTATACATTTCCGATTATTAATACAAATTTACTATGCTAAAATACTTCAATGTTTAAACTTTAAACCTGCATTTAACTTACGCAGAAATAAAACGCAAAACAATTCACCGATGTTTGTTAGCACTGCTAATATATAAGTATTACTTTTTTGTTTTAATAGATTTGTTTGAATGACATTCATTGTTTTCAAACAATACTAGTCGTAATTAACATATTAACTTCTAGAACTTTAGCAACTAAATATTATCAAAAACTATTAAACTTCTTATAAAAAAATGCAAAACTTATATGTTTATATTGATTACAACGTGACATATGACTTATTCATCATGTCACGTTGATGTTAATCATCAACGTGACATGATCTCGTCATATAATGTTATCTTCGAATCATGTTATCATGTTAATCTCGAATGATGTTGATACTTGAACAGCAATTTTTTCCAGAATCCTTATTTTTTTATATTTTTGTTCCATTTTAAAACGATTTTTCTCCAATCATATGAATGAAAATTACATAAATTTCGAACTTCATGCTTTTATTTANTATATATATATATGTATATATATATATACATATATTAAGAAAAATAAAGAAAAAATTCATAAGTGGGGATATATTAAATTTTTAATGCTGAAAAAAGATTAAATATGGATATATTTTTCAAAAACATATGAATCATTTAAGAATTTTTCATTTATATCAAAAAATTAAAGATAAAATTTGGAAGAGCTTAAAATTTAATATTTTTGTAAGCCTAATATTTGACATTTCTTCAATGAGCTTTTGTAAGGGATGAAAGTAACATAAGAAAAAAGAAAAAATCTATCAATTATTGAGAAAAACAGTTTCATACTTTAATCTGAAAAAGTATATTGGGTGATATGCCAAGTACCTAGAGCATAATTGATATTACATAAATGTATTTCAATTCTGAAAACGCTTAAACTGCTTAACTATTTCATTTTTTTTATATTTATTGTCGAAAATATAACACAATACACCGATAAATAATAGTTAAACAACGAACATAAATGGTTCAAATAAATATTTCATATTTTTATGTGTAAGGAAATCATAAACTTGAAGTACTTACTTCAAGGTAAATGAGCTGTGACGTCATACCGGCGTCTAAGGAAATAAATAAAATTCTGGATTTACCATCGTCTATTACAAATGCCCGACTGTATAAGCGAGTATGAATGCCCCCGGTACGCTGAGAAAGTTGGGCGTATCCCATCTGAAATAAACAATAAAAATAATGTTATAAATTCCAAAACAAATAATGCATGAAGATATTTATTATAGTTTTCTTGTTTGTATACATGCACAAAATACATATTTTGCTATGACGCATTTAAATATTTGAGTTTGTAATTTTATATCTAACTTTATTTCTTTTAAATTCCTAAACAAGTATTTTTTATATTATTATCCATTTAAATAAATGAATATGCATAAAAAGTTTGAAATAAAAATCAAAGCTAGTTTGCATTTAGATTGCTACTTATCTTTTTTTTTTGTTAAAATCCAATAGATTTATAAAATTGCAATTTATAAAAATATTGTTTTTCAGACCATTCGATTGTTTTGATTGACTTAGAAGCAATTGTTGTTTTTTCACAGTATTAAAATTATAATGTGTTTTTTTTTTTTAACCTTTTAATTCGTAAACCGAAATGCTTTAATTTTTGCTGTGTACTGTTTTTCAGTTTTGTTATAGATGAGATAGCGTAGTTCTAAAACAAGGAGTTTTTTTGAGGTGCACTTTTTTCAACTTAGTCATACAAGAATTGCTCATATATGTTATTTTGTTTTCAATGACGGATAAACTGCCGTAGTTTGGATAGATGAAATCCCTTATATGGTGTCCGTAGAATATCCGCTGGATATATGAAAAGTATCCGTTTTATAGCAATATATTTCCACTTTATGGTGAACAGTATTCGTTTGTATTAAAAAGAACGCACCTATTGAAAGCAATGATCACAAGGCATTTTGAAATATCTTAAAAGTTTTTTTACTGTAAAATTTTTCTGTGAAATTGAAAAAAGAAAAGAAAATGCTGTTCTCATACGAATACTAACTTTTGTGATAAACAATAATGGATATTATAATGAAACATATCCATTTTATAACGAAATATATCCAATATTTTTAGAGAAGCATTAACGCGTTATAGCAAAAAATAATTGTTTTACAATGAATACTCTTTATAATGTAAAAACATACTGTATTTTAGTAATAATGTGCGTATTATGGCGAAATATATCCGTTTTGAATAAAGAATTACGCATTTTATACTTAAAATTATCCTCTTATAGCAAAATATATCCGTTTTATACCACAAAGCTGCATTTTATAATAAAAATAACTGCGATTTGTTAATACTGTTTTGTTTTCAAACTAAGTATTATTCAATTAAATAAGCTCAATGAATATAAATATTTCCATGGAAATAAATCTAAATTTTATAACTTATTAAAAATGAAGTTCTCAAATGGTTCCCAAGGCAAAATTGTGAAATATTTTTCGTCATACCTCACTCATCATTTTTACTTTTTACTCAAAATTTGGCTATGCAAAATAATTCGAAACTAATTTCACCGGAGTTAAGAAATGAAGGATAAATTTATACTCCCAGAATGATGAGTATCTAGAAATACTCATCCGAAAAAGGGATTTTTTCTCAATTTTAGCCATCTATCGTCTTCACTCTAAAATGGAAAAGATGGCCTGTTCAACTAGCATTAATCGATTTTTTGGGCTTTACCATGCCACCGTTTTAACAATGGGTTCAACTAAAGTGGCTCAGAAGTCCTTTGAGATAATGTCACATCAAACATTCTTCACATTTTCTTTCCCTTCTTCGATTTCGTTTTTCACCGGAGCTGTATGTTTGGGTTAAACAGGATTAGAAAAAGATGGAGTGAGAAAAAACAAATATCCAAACATTTTATTATAAATTTAAATTTATAGACAGTCTGGGAAAAAAGCATCTAGACTATATCTAAAGACATTGTCTATCACTCTGACGACTATTCGTTTTTTTTTCCTTATTGAAATTTATTATAATAGTTTAATGACATCTTGATGTATAATGGTTGTTAATATAGCGCCATGTCATTTTTAGGTACCATTTCATATTTAATAAGCGTCATTTATTTAGAAATCAACGTCGACGATTAGATTACAGATACTCTACCCATTGCTATCAAGGTTTCTCCAGATTCAAGCGTTTAAGAATAAAAGCACAAATACTGATTGTTAGAATGTAAAAATGTCGTGTTACAATTTTTTAAAAATACCATAACAACTGAGGTAAGAAAAAAAGAGGAAAAAGAATATATTCTTCTAATTATTCCTCCATCATTACATAGTAAAATAGTATGTCAGTAACATTATTACACATTTTTTATCGTAAACAGATCTAGAATGAGGTTATAGATTTCAGGTTTAGATTTGAAAATAAATAGAGCCAAAAATTGGTAATAAATTACTCGGTATCATGTTAAAAAATTTATAACTGCAAAATCACTAAGATTCGCAGTTTGACAAACAGAGAAAAAGTAAGAGAGCATTTTAATTTATTTCAATTGTTTCAGATGCTCATTCTAGAATAATTTTTATAAGTGTAACTGAAATTCAAGTGAATGAGAATACATAAAAGTGCAGTTATTTTTTTATCCTTTTAGATAAATGTTTTAAGCATGGTGCTCAATAAGGGTTTATCACCGTTTTTGGAAAACAGTGAAACATGCTTAATTTTTTAAAATAAAAACTTTTAAATGAAAAAATTATTCAAGATACAATCAAATTAAATTGAAGAAGTTACTGCACTGAAAAAAATTCCGAATCAAATCAAAGTATAAAATAATGCCACGTGGGTGCATCATCAGTAAAATCAATTTTTACCGTGAACTATTATACTGCAATTTTAGCACTAATATTTATTTAATTACAGGGATTCAGAGATTTTCGGTAATTATTATTGTAAAAATTACGGTATAAAGGGGTTTTTGTACCGTAAAATGTTCTGGTAAAAGTGGATTTTACTGTAAAGAGCACCGGCATCCTGAATACTATTTCTTTTAACCGTAGTATAATCCGAAATTTTTTTACCGTGTGTGTTCTAGAAGATGTTTTCGACTTCAATCGTCAATAAAGTATTTTAAAATCACTTCAGTTTTTTCTTTTTTTTCAAAATTATTTGTGAAATACAAAACATATTTACAAATTTCTATGAAATTGGAAAATTTTGAATTATATTATTCTTGTCTATAAAAAAAACTTAAAGCATTTACCACTAAACAACGTTTTGCGTAGCGTTACGTTAAACAACGTTGCGTAACGTTAAACTACGTTTTTACCACTAACAAAATTATTCTTAAGCCAATAAAAGCTTTGGCTAGTAATTAAATAAGTTTGTATTTTGAAAGAGTTGTTTTATACAAAAGTGTGCTTAAAATTTCAATCCCTGTATGAAATTTTTGGTGTCATTTTTCTCATTTCCATACATTGAATTAAGCACATTATGATCACGAACGAAAATACAAATTTAAAAAAAGTCCATGAATGATACAAAACTACAATGTTTCTAGAAATTGCCTTATTACCCGAGAATCACTCTGAAATTTTGAAGATACACCTAGATTTTTAAAATTAAGTGCATGAAAAGTTAGAAGAATTAAAAGTACTCTCCTCCACCATCAAAGCACTTTCAAGCTCAGCTCAAACTACATTTTTCATAACTACTTCTTCGTGAATAATTTTATGTTGGGATGCAAATCCTATGTCATATTTCTGCTGTATCATTTGGTAAGTACAGCGATTATCATCTATTAACATTTTCCTTATGGCAGACACATTATCCGGGATAACTGTGCTGATGGCGGTCTTCGCCCTGAAGAAAATTGCGATTTCGGTGAAATTCTGAAATTATCTGAATACAGTAGTACACGATGGAATTTTATTCTCAAACGCTAATTGAAGCCGTTGAAAGCATTCTTCTTGATTTAATCCCATTTTAAAATCATAGAAAATCATAGCACGATAATGTTCTTGCGTCAGCCATTTTCTCTTCAGCCTAAAATTTATTCTAAGCTGAACAACTTGAAACAAAGTCAATAAAAAATTGCCTAATATGCTAAAATCGTTTGTATTTTCAAATTAATACTTTAATTTTTGTTTGTTACTTCTCGCCTGCGCGTATCTCAACAATTTCATAGCCTAAGTTTTTTCTAAAAGGACTGGGCATTTTAAATTTGAAGTCTCATAACTTTATAAATCTATATCAGGATTTAAACTTTTCAAACTGAGCCTACAAATTTTATTTTTCCGTATTTTAAAACTGTGGAAAAACTTTAAAAACGTGTAAAAAAAACAAAAATACATTTTTTGAAAGAACATTCACAATTTTTTTTAGAAGTGAAGAAATGGGAAAATGGTAGAGTGGCTGAAAAACAAAATAAATGCACATTTAGAAATTAAAATCATTGACAAATCGTTGTCAACTTCAATCGCATCAAAGATGGTTCTGTGCAAATATAATTTGATGTAACTGAAAGATATTTCTAATAACCGCATTTCCTCTCCTTTCAATTGAATTCAACAATCAAGTTTTGATGATTTTTTATCTTGTTTTATTGTGAATGAACTCTATAATGATTTGTAAGTTGTTTATAAAAAAATTCTCGCACTCAAAAATTTATTTTCAACTTCAAATATGCATAAATAATCATTTTATTTTATTTTTTAAAGTACAAATACACATTTCAGTATGATGATTATGGAATGGGATAACAATATTTCGAATGCACTTTAACCTAATATACTCAAGAGTTTAATAACTATGAATAATATTTTAGGATCTCAGTTTTGAAATGTCTGGTCAGCAAAATCAACTTTACCGTATTTTTGCATCATTTATTGCTGAGCCCTTTTCTGCACATCATATTCTCATCGATACGCATTAATTCTTATAGAGAAAGACATTTCGCCAAATGCAGCCAAGAAGGTTCTTAGCTGCCTCCACTTCTGTTATTTAATGGATCGTGGAAAATATTCATCCATCATATCGGGAATTGAGGCTATTTTGTTCTCCGTCTTAGCTTTTATGACTTTTTTAATTAATGTCATTCTAAGGTTGTAAGTGGAAGGTGGCAGAATCAATGACTCATCCCTTACAAGATGCAAAACCCTCATTTTTATTCCTACTATAAATTGATTAACCAGAGAATG